CAAAAAAAAAAAAAAAAGCGTCTCCTCCTCTTGTAGATCTTCCCTTCTCTTATGTTTTTCTTATCTCATGGATCTCTAAATGTGCCTTCTTGTTCTTTTCAGTACATCTGCATAATCCTCATAATTATATCCCTCTATGAAGCTAGTTGCTCATCTTTCTACTATCTCAAATTCTTAGCTAAGAGTGAGCATGTATATGATTAATAAGTTTACTTCACTCAGAATAAAAACTTAAATAACCCAACGTAATAAATACAAATGTTCTTGTAGAATAAGTCCCTTTCCCCGTGTGCTACAAATCCCAGGGCATCCTGCTACAGCAATGAACAAAACCGATTATAAACAGACTGAAATGTAGCTCAACGTTAAGGTGGGTACTTGCCTAACATGCACAGGGTCCTGGGTTCCATCCCCAACACCACAAATAAAACAAAAAAACTACTATTTCCAGAACACAAAAGACCTTAAGTGACAGAGGAAGATTTAGAAATGTTCGCTTGCTTCCTTATTTATCTACTTAAGGTCTACTTCCTGCTCAATATCCTAGAGATAAACAGTCACACGCAAGGACCAATACCTGCTTTTATGACAGTGCACACAGCAGTAAAGGTGAAGACACACAACAGTAAGGGCGAGAACTTTCAAATCAAACCAAACCACTGAAGGGTGAGGGCAGACAAAAGTGAAGGCTAAATTCCAATCTGCACTTGGACCTAAATTCTAGATCGTATAAAAAAGAAGGCTTCCAATCCCAACAATACCCTTGCTTATAAAATAATGCTCCTGGGCTGGGAAGGTGGCTCAGTGGTAGAGCGCTTGCCTTGAATGCATGAGGCCCTGGGTTCGATTCCTCAGCACCACATAAGCAAAAAAAAAAAAAAAAGCCGGAAGTGGTGCTAAGGGTCAAGTGGTAGAGTGCTAGCCTTGAGCTGAAGAGCTGGGGGACAGTGCCCAGACCCAGAGTTCAGGCCCCACGACCGGACCCCCCCCCAATAAAATAATGCTCCGGCACCTGGCCCTCAAAGCTAGAAAGGTTATTAAACATCCAACAACTCGTAAAACATACTTTTTGCCTTTTTCACTAGTTAAACTGAATTACATGTGCAAGAAACATGCATCGCATCCCAGCGGCTGAAAAGGAGGACATCAAAAAATCAGTTAATAATGTCCTGGTTCCACTTGCAAAGAAAACTTGCCACGGGTTAACTCAACGACCTCCCAGAGCCCACACTGTGACTATCACGAGCGCTCGACATCCCCCGGGAGGAAGCGCCACTCAGGGCCGAGATCTGGTCCCCACCCACCCCGCCAGGTCCTCTGACCGACCCGAGCGTGCGGCCGCCCAGCTCCGCGGCTGCCGAGCCCCTGCTGGCAGACGCTGCGGGCAGCAGACAGGAAGGAGACCCGGAGCAGGATGCCTGAAGCCAGGCTGCGGGCCAACCGTCCCACGCCGTCCCACGCCGCCGGGAGAGCCGGGCGCGTCCGGACGCTGCCCCCGGACGCCAGCGCCATGCTCCGCGGGGAAGGTGG